ATGTCAAGAGAATTATACTGCTCCCTGTGGTCCCCAAGGTCAACTGTTACATCCTTATCCAGTGACTTGCTGTCCCCTGATGGCACCCGGGTCTGTCCCTTCAGGCAGGACCTGGGACTGAGTTCTTGGAGGAGAGGGGTTAAGAGAAAGAAGAAAGCAGAATAACTCATCTAGGAGGTGGCTGACAGACCACATCTGCCAACGTCTCGGCTGTCACTGCGACCTGCTCACATCATCACAGCATAGCTGACACGTGTGGGCTTTGGGACACAGGAACGCTGGGTCCGAACCACTTGTCAGACGGCACTAGGACCCAGCTGCGTGAGGGACAGAGACGGGGTTGGAGAACACTGTGTTCATTTACTATGGAAATGTTAACATTGATTCAAATTTCCCAAATAAGTTCCATTTTTTACCATGAAACGCAGGCTCTTTTAGAAGTACAAGGAACAAGGGATTGAGAGTGCAGAAAAAAAAATGCTTGTACATTTTTTAGTGATTTAAAATCCCCAAAGAAATGGCTGATTTGTTCATGTGTGATTTTAGTGTTCACACCAAAAATAACCAACACAGGTCTTACATCTTAAGCCATTTCGCCTCCTTGACTATAAAACCACTAAATTATAAAGCTGTGCTGATTTAACAGTTGTGATACTTTTTTGAATCGAAACAATAAAAATATATTTTATTCTAAAAAAACTATAATAAAATGTCATTATCATACTAGTCACTAAAGCAGAACTTATCAAAGGCCCCATAAAGACGTGTAATTCTTCCTGCAGGGAGACAACCATCAAAAACATGGAAGTTTCCTCCCCTGAAACTGATCGTGAATAATTTAAAACCCTTCCCAAAGCCACCTCATCACATCCCTAAAGAGGGAATATCACGAAGTTCGGGGAAACGTTACGACAGCCAATCACGCAGCTGGTGCAGGAAAAGCCGCACGCCCGGCACAGGACCACAGGCTGCCGGAGCTGGGAGGACGGGACCCGCCCTCTGGTACACAGCTTAAGCCTCAGTCTCCACCTCAGCGTCCAGGGGTTTCCAGGAGGCCACTGAACCCTTCGAAGGTCCAGGTGCAGCCGTGGTCATGTGTGTTGCTGCTGCTCCGAGTGCTTGTTACTGGCCCCACCTGAAAGTCACACGGGGATTTGAACCATGTGCCGTGACCCATTTAATAGCAGATTTAAATGCTGGGGGGGCGGGGGCAGGAGACGGCCAGGAGAGAAGCTCCCCGCTACTTCCGTTCCCCTTCTCTGGGATACGACAGATGTCCCTAGATGCACACTGCAGCCCGGCCACCAGCTGGGCATCCCAAGTGCTGTCCAGGCTGGTGTCTGAATTTTCATTTATTGATTTATGGACATTAGCTTCTTACTGGGTGCCATCTGCCGTGATCCTCTCAAAGAAGTACCCAAAAAAATGGCCACCAGCTCTCAAAGCGGAGAAACAAAAGCAGGCCACTTAGGTTCCTACGTTGTCCACTGGGAACAGGAGCCAGCCTGAGCAGTCTCCACGTGTCCACATGATCACCGTCACGAAGCCTGTGTACAAGCTACCCAGGAGGGTCAGACACGTCCACACTCACACAGAGCTGCAGTCAGGGCCCAGGAAGCGCCACAGGAGGGAACCGGGCCCCCACCGGGGAACAGCCACACGGCTGGGATGGCAGGAGGCTTGAGGGGATGACGTCTACACGGAGCTCCTTTGGGGAGGGCAGGAGAGAGACGCAGGCTGGAAGTGCAAAGGCATTCCAGGAAGGGCCAGAGAAGTGGGAAGATGCAGATAATGTTCAGGGGAGAGTGAGGGCCCCACCGATGCCGCTGGAGAGGGTCAAAGGGGAAGTCACGGTGATTATTGACGAAAACACACAGGCTAGGCTGTGGGCCCCCAGCCGCACACTGGTGACACTGAACTTCATTCTGTTGGCATTGGGAGAGCTGCCCTTGGAGCCGTCCCAACTCCGTGTCCAACTCGAGCTTCAGCCTCCAGTTAAAACCCTAGCCTCAGTCATTCCAGGGTGGGGGGCAGCCTGGCTTCCCAGCAATTGCTCTAGACACAGCAGTTTTGACCTGGGGCTTGAACACACTGCTCGCTCGGGCATTGAGCCATGGGAGAGAACATCATTGCTTTCTTAGGAATGAATGCCTGGCTGTGCTGCTAATGGGCTGTGCTGCCTCCAGTGGACGCTCAGATTTCCTAAATTCATTATATCCCTAGTTTTATAGTCCACCTTGAGTTGTCAATGCGGTTTAAGAGATGGTACACGAGTTGGCTGACCGCTGAGAAACGGGAGCGCCTGCCTCCCCAACCACCTCCAGCTAGGCATGAGCCACACTCCCAGGTTCCCAGCTGGAAAACGTCCACATGAACGCGCATCCTTCCCACGGAACCCATCTGTTGCAGGAAGGGCAGAGGGCGATGGGTGTTCCACAACCCCTGACCACCCAGAACCAGGGACGCAGACAGCAGACTGCAGCCTCCCCACCCACTCCCGGACCCTGTGGGCTCTCCTAACCCACGGGCAGATCACTCTCTTATAGGACGCAAAGTGTGCCCACAAAGTATACCCTCTACATATGCAGTTACGTGTGATTGTTGAACAGCCCAAGGAAACAGAGAAGAAAGGATGCGTGGTGTACAAATATGAAAAAAAAAAACAAGGCTTGGGCAGATCGAAGTGTCCACCTGCATTCACCAAGTGATGCTAAAACTCATGTTTGAACCTGTGCGTAATCATCTTATTGATCCTGGGGCAAAAGCTGGGTGGGGGCCAGATACCTGGCTGTGCTTCCTGTTTCTTCCACACACTAGCAAGCTGTTTAAAACTCTTGGAAACTCTGTTCTGTGTATCGGCAGATGGAACTAATAATTACAGTGGCTTCACAAGCTGTTGTAGGATTGGGGCAGGGTTCCCCAGCCTTGGCACTATTGGCAGCTGGGGACAGATAAGTCTTCGGTGTGGGGACTGTCCTGTGCATGGTAGGATGCTGGGCAGCATCACTGGCCTCTGCCCGGTAGAACCAGTAACACCCTCCTCCACCCGTTTGTGACAACCAAAAAATGTCTCTAGACATCACCAGGTGTCCCTGTGAAAACGACTCTCAGCCTCGTTTAAATTGGAGGACCACACCACGCTGGCTTTGTCTAAGCAACTGTTCCACTTTGTTGCGTGGTCCTGTCACCCCCATTCTGCCACAGAGCCGACCGATCCCTGTTTCTCGGGTCTCGGGCTCCAAGAGTCTTCAAATTTAGATGCACTGATGTCTCTTCTCTTTCATTTATACAACCTGAATATGTTTATATTAACAGCCTCACACAAAAGCCAGGCTTTTTCTTTTTCCTAAATAATGTGTATATTTACATGGAAAAGGCTAAAGCATTCTTGGATTGCTGGTTTTTAGCATCCATACTTATAGAAAACTGAGATTAATTGACATAAAATATGATATTAGATGCAGGTATACAACACAATGATTTGGTTTTTGTATGTATTACAAAATGAGCACCATAATAAGTCTAGATAACAGCCATCACCACACATAGCTGCCAACGTTCTTCTCGCGAGGAGAACTTTTAAGATCTACTTCGTTAGCAACTTCCAAATGCAGAACACAGTGTTGGTAACTAGTCATCATGCTGAACTTTACAGCTCCAGGACTTAGTACCTGGAGGTTTGTGCCTTTAGTTTTTAAATTATATCATGAAGTACAAATTTCCAATGATTAAAGTAGTCAGGAGGGGTAAAGTCCAGCACAGGGAACATAGTCAATACTGTTGCAATAACTATGTATGCTACCAGAGGGGTGCTGCACGTCTCTGAGTGATCACTTCGTAAGTTACATATAATTGTCTGCCACTATGCGGTGCACCTACCTGAAGCTGACACAATATTCTATGTCAGCTGTAAGAAAATGGGCTGTTGCCCCGGCCGGTGTGGCTCAGTGGATTGAGTGCCGGCCTGCAAATCAAAGGGTCACCAGTTCGATTCCCAGCCAGGGCACATGCCTGGGTTGTGGGCCAGGTCCCTTGGTGGGGCGGGCATGTGAGAGGCAGCCACACAGTGATGTTTCTCTTCCTCTTTTTTCTCCCTCCTTCCCCCTCTCTCTAAAAAATTTAAAAATTAAAAAAAAATCTCAACCTCAATAGTACTGTCTAGATTTCTTAAAAAAAAAAACAAAAAAACAAAAAACCTCACAGTGGTACTTCTCAGAGCCTTTTAAATGCTGAAATGCAACTCGAGCATCAAGAAGGTGACCCAGCATGTCTCCCTTAGCGCTCGGACCTCCCTGCGGCCGGCAACCCACCGAGCTGGTGCATAACACACTGGGCGAGCATGGCTTCCCGGGCTGTCTGCTGAGCCTGACGTGTGGTCCGATCCACTAGGGACAGACCAGAATGTACAGAACTTTGATTTGACTTGATTTTATATATTTTTAAAGATTTTATTTGTTTATTTTTAGAGAGAGGGGAAGGGAGGGAAAAGAGAGAAACATCAATGTGTGGTTGCCTCTCACGTGGCCCCCACTGGGGACCTGGCCGGAAACCCAGGCATGTGCCCTGGCTGGGGATGGAACCGGCCACCTTTTGGTTCACAGCCCGCGCTCAGCCCACTGAGCTACAGCAGCCAGGACGAACTTTGATTTTAAAAGAGGCAAACACTGCCGACTACCAGAACATGCTAAGAATCTGGGACTACTCAATGTCAAATATTCCCAATGCCTCCAAACCAGTGTGCTGTCTGTATTGATTTTTTTTTTTATTTTATTGTGATAAGAACACTATATGAGATTAACCCTCTCAACAAATGCTTAAGGGGACAATACATTACTACTGACGACAAGCAGAATGTTGTGCAGAGATCCATCCCCAGGGCTCACTCCTCTGGCTTAACTGGGAGCTCATTCCCTTTCATTAGTAACTCCCCATCCCTGCCCCCCCCAACCGCCCACCCTATCCCCCCCCCCCCGCAGCCATGTGGTGTGTACATCACTCACCCGAGACCCCTTCTCAGGAAAGCACTGGCAAACAGAGCGATCTCTTCCTGCACAAGGACTGGTGAACTTCTTTCCGCTCTGGAAAGGGAAGCATCAGACTCAGCGTACGGGAACCCATCCCCCAGCCGGGCACGCACAACATACCAAGCACCCCGGGTGTGCCTCAGTCATGAGAACGCCACAGTATTCTCTCTACCTTCGCGCCCATGAAGAGAAGAGGCTACTATTTATATTTAAGAAGGCAAAGACTTTTCCTTGTGGTTTGGAAATAAAGAGGGTTGATGATTTGCGACCAAGAGTGAACGTGTGTGTGAACTACGGTAAATTACCGCAAGCTAGGATTGTTAAATGGCTCTGAAGCCACTGTGCACTCACCAGAACCTTCTGCATTTCTCTCGCCTGGTAAGATTCGTTTACCGAACTGAACAATCTTAGAGTGCAAACTATGTAGTTAGGAAAATCGTAAGTGCACACAGTCTCTAATTTAAGTTATAAATCTGGGGTTTTTTTCCCCTTTACCTCCAAGGGCTGTGTCTCCCTCGTCGAGTCTCTCTTATGGCAATGCTGTGGGAAAAGCCTTGCACTTGGGGTTAAAACTGTTCTTTCTACAATTTGCTGATACTCCACGATGGTTCCTCGATGGTGTTTCTCAACCAGGAAGCTCCTGAACTTAAATAACTTGCCCCCTTTTCCCACTCATAGCTAACTTTTCTTCAACACTCTCTTTAAAAATCACTCTGCACTCACATATTTTCTTAACTTTAATGCTTCTTCCAAAAGCACACATGCACACACACACTAATTTGGGGAAAGTCAGTCCCTTGTTCTCACAAATACTCATTATCGATATCCAGAGTATCAGTCATTTCAATGCAAAAGTACAGTAACAGAGTGACTGTTTCATAGGTAGGTTCCTTCATGACAAACAGCCGCCATGGCGCAGTGAAATGAGCTCTGAGAATTCAGTCCCAGACCGGGGCTGAGGCCCGGGATGCAGCGGGGCTAAAACCAGCCCCAGGTGCTGGGAGCTAAGGGCGTTCACAGAAGTGTCAGAAAGGCATGACCTTGCCTGATCAGCCCTCACTGCGACATGCGTGTATTAACCACACACGTCTATAAGCTGATAATTCTCCTTAAATGCAAGGCTGTAAGCTTGTCTTTAGACCAGTGATTTGCAACTTTTTTCATCTCATGGCCCACATAATTACTAAAATTCTGCAGCACTCTGAAAAGTTATTATATTTTTTTGCCAATCTGACAAATAAAATAGGTGTAATTGTGATTCATTCATACCTGATGGCTATTGTTGTATTGGCTATTGTCATTTTTTATTTGATGATCTGAGGGAAAAGAGGTCAGGGCCACTGACTGAATAGTCAGGTATTGCATGTTTTACAAATTCTTGCGGTACACCAGTGTGCCGCAGCACACAGGCTGCGAATCGCTGCATTACAACAAGGTACAATGCAGAAACATAAAACAGTTAAACCGATATTCATAGTTCTGAAGGAAGTCACATATATGTATACATTCATACCTATGCAGGTACATAAGTATGTATGTGAATATATGTGAATACATATATATGTGTATATGTATATACACATATAGGATATATATGTATATGGGAAGGAAAGAAGTCTACCCAGCATCTTTTTTTTGCTTTTCAATCACATAATTTAGACCGCTTTTTTTTTTCAGAAAAAATCTTCTCAGAAACAATCCAACAGAAAATATCTTTACAATTAAGCATTAATAAAAAGACATCTTTATGTACAAAACTCTTAATGTGTTACTGAAAGTATATAAGAATTTAAACCTTGACAAGAGCCAAGCAATTAGATAATTTAAGTTAAAAACTACAGTTGAAGTTTCAGAAATATATGCCTCTTGAGCTTTGAGTAACATTGTTACCTATGATGCAGGAAAATTAAGTTCAAAAACCTGATTAGGTAAAAAAAAAAATTAAATAAATGCCCAGGGCCAGGTCAGGACAGCATGAAAACACCTAAAATAACTAGTCGGAATGGTTGGGTTCATTTAAGGTTGGGTTCATTATTCTGTGCTCAATGAAATATCAAAATAACCAGGGGAAAAAGAGAGTCAGTTGATTAAATGGCTTGGTAATAAAAGCAAGTTTGTTATTTTATTTTCGTTGTTTTTTTTTTTTACTTAATTGTGCCAAACATCACTGAGATGTTTGTAGCAAAATTACATTTCAGAGAAAAATCAGTTTAAAATAGATCATCAGATTCTAATAAAGAGACAGAAATAGTTGCATATAAAATTTTGACTTGGACCAATAGAAGAAAAATGCAAGAAGTGAGTTTAGTCTCTACAAAGCTCCTCTCCATTAGACACATCGCAATAAACGTCATTTGAAAAGGAGGAGGCATTTATAGAGGAAGAAGCTGCACCTCAAAAACTGATTATAAAAACCCATTAGAAGAAGATAAAGACTGTATCTCAGACAAGTCAGCATTCAAAGTATAATCCGCATTCCCTGGGGCTACACTGACAGTCTCTGAAACCAATGTCACTCTTCTTCAAAGAGAAGAAAGGAAATGCCACTGTCCATTTTATCACAGATTCTTTTAAATAAGTATTTATTGCACAGAAAATTCAAGAAAGTAAGTTATTACATGTGTACTTCTATTTTCTTTTTTGAAAAATAATGTGCACATGATTAAAAAAAAGTCAAATAGTGCACAGCAGTACAAAGGGAAAAGACATTTTCTCTCCATCTTGGCCCCCCATTCCTTCACCCAGAAGTAATCAAGCTCTTCACATTGGCGTCTGGGTGTTTATGAGCACATTCATGCAATCATCGTGTGTACACACACACAGACACATGCGCTTTTTTGGTGATTTTGGTCTTGTTTTATTTTTACCAAAATGGTATATTTCCCTGTGTTTTGCTCTTTTCATTTAATTGGATGACTTCAAAATCATGCCACAATAATACACTTGGCCATCTATCAGACAAAGTACTATAAGTTGTATAATTAGTCCTTCCTGATGGACATTTATGCCACTTCCTGAACAGGATCCTGGAACTGGTATTCTTGTACATGTGCTTTATGCACACATCAGTATAAATATGGATGATAAATCCCAAAAAGAGAAAGTCCTGTGTCAACAGGCAGGTGAACTTAAGATCCTGATGGGTAGGTTACCTCCCGTAGATACTGCAGTAATTTATGTCTCTACATTTAAAACTCAGCAACAGTATAAGCACTCTCTGTGAGAACTCTAGAATCTCTTGTGTACACAGGCTGCTAGGAGAACCCAGGACAATCTAGTTCGGGACAGTCTAGGTCAGGAATCAAATGCACTCATATGGAACATAAGAATAAAGGAAGTGAAATACAGGACTCTGTAAACTTTTATAATTAAAAAAAATACAAAAATAAACTCAGAAGTACCCAGTAAGAGAAGCAGAAAAAATCCACACACACATACTTCAGTGTGTTTCCATTTATTATTTCTGGTGATGTTCCCAAAGGCATGTGAACTAAGCTGAGCAAGTCTCATCCTTCCTTTAATCAGGAGAAAATGGAATCTTGGATAAATTGAGATACATCATCATCCGAGTGGAGAACCAAGGCATCTCATTTCTGAACACAAATGCCTTCTACTCCTGACTGGTAAGAAGAGGAGAATGGAAACTTCCTACTGGATTTGCTTTGAAAAGACCTATGATAAACGGCACCATAGACATTGGACTGGGTGGGTCTCAGCTGGAGAGGGTGGACAGACAGCAACAGGTTCACTGGAGTGATTTACACCAGTCCAGTCAGCTCAAGATTAACCTGAGTTACAGGCAGCCCATAGAATTTCCCAGAAACATCTGAGTTTGGGTTTTAATAACTTTGATTTTCAGATCTTATTACAGAATGTTCTAGGCTTATCTTTCTCCAGAGTTAATCTTACACTTCTTGATTTAATCTTGAAGGAGACCAGCTGCTTCCTGGCCCTCTCCAAAAGGCTTTTTAAGAAAGGTTATATTATAAAATAAAGAAATCTCCAATACCATTTAGAGGCAGTTTGGTAAGCAGTCTTGGCTGTAAAATATAAAAGAAAACTTAGAGCTCATCTAGTCCAACCCTTCATTTTACGGATGAGAAAACTGAATCCCAGGGACTGACCCGTTTAAAAGTATAACAAAAGCAATGCATTCAATAAAGCGAATTTTCAACATGCACTCAGAGCTCATCACTGTACTTACCCCGTATGCATGTTGCATAGAAAAGACGATAAGGATGACTGACCTACAAAGAAGCAAAAATTGCAGATGAATTTAAACTGTTTTCATGCAAACCAAACTACATAGATAGGGAATAAAGGAATTAATCCTAGAAAGCTTCCCTTTCTGTCCAATAGGCTGCTGTCACCAGCACATCATCCTCAGTGACAAGATAAATGTTGTCCCCTCCCTGGCTGTCTTCATTACTCTTCCCCTTATTAATCAGTCAGGAAGTGCTCGCAGCCATTTGGAGAGGTCCTCATGGTGCTGGGCACCATGGGGACCCTGAAGGGGAGACCTGCACGGACAGATGAGTGAAGGAAGGTGACTCTTGGGATGAAAACCAGAGAGGAGAGGAGGCAGCTTTGCTCAGGGACAGGGCACAGACAGTGTAGGCTGAATGACGTTAAGTGAAGCCAGCTGGAAGGAGGGAGGAGGGAAGAAAACCTAGTTGGACTGGGAGATGGGTTGGAAGGAATGGAAATAAATGGACTTGTTAGGGAAGAGTTAGGTAGCTTGGGGTCTTATAATTGAGGCAGAAATCCATGAGGGTAATATCATTATTACAGACACAGTTTAGCATAGAGAGATGAACCAAAGAGACCGCTATACGATCTGAATGACTCTCACATGCATATGTTGAAATCTTAACCCCAGTGTGATAGTATAATGAGACGTGGCCTTTGGGAGGTACTTGGGTCAAGAGGGTGGAGTCCTCATGAATGGGATTTGCGCCCTTATAAAAGGGACCCCAGAGAGCTCTCCCACCTTCTTCTTCCCACCACAGGAAGATACAACGAGCAGTCAGCGGTCTGCAATCTGGAAGAGGGCGCCCCCAGAACCAACCTTGTTGACACCCTGATCTCAGACTTTCAGGCTCCGGACCTGTGAAAAGTCAATTCCTGTTGCTTAGAAGCCACAAGGTCTGTGGTGTTTGTCACAGCAGCCAGAACTGACTGAGAAAACCACTCAACCTTCACATACATTTGCTTCAGTCTTATATTTGCCCCAGAGCTTCCATATCCACCCTTGAAACAGCTGTGATGGAGCTGGGAATTCCACTTATCATGTACCCAAGAGTGGGGGGCCAGGGGCCCCAGCCAGGGCCGTGGTTCCTCTGCCAGCCTTGTCCTTTGTTCTGCACAGAGTCATTTCCTACCTGAAAGCTCATGTCCTAGGTGGCCCTCCCTCTCCAGCCTCCCCTCCTTCCTCCAGTGTGCAGATGCTGGTCAACGCCACAGACGGCCACACAGCCACGCCCCTGGTGGGGCACTGGCTGGGCACTCACGTGCGTCTGCACTGAAGGCCCCCTTCTCCCAACCCCTCTAATCAAACTTATGATAATTCCCAATAAGGCCAGGCTGGCATTTCAGTAAATAAAGCAAGTCAATAAATTAAGAGAGTAAAAGAGGTGTCGAACACTGTAGGAAACTGTTTTGAATCAAGTTCAAGTATTTACAACTGTTGTTTGTTGAGTGAGTCCTTACCACTCGGGACATTTGTAAATAAGGATAGGCCCTATCTCCTCACAGTTTGGGCCTCCATATGTCGACTCCCATTAAAACTGTAGTCAGGGCACTTGTTTTCCACATTTTACCCAATGTAAACAGACTCGGAAATGTTGAATAATGCGCTGAAAAGGTTGCAGGCAGAGTGGCACTGAGGGGGAAGGGATGGCCCAGGTCAGGTCTGAATCCACCTACTGTCTCCATCTACCCTTTCCCTTCCTCCTCCTGCGGCTGCTTATGTTTTAAAGCAATGGTTTCTTTAAAGAACCTTTCACAATTAAGATACCCTCTCCAAATAAGCACTTCTGATAGATGCACCCTCCTCTCCTTCTTCATTGCCTACAATACATGCTCAGCAGCTTCAAAACTTCCTCTTGTTCACTATTTAGCATTTCTACACCTTTATGTGCAACGCGTTTTTTAGTCACTTGTCACAGTATCATATTTGCTTCCTACGGCTGCTGCAATACATCACCCCACACACTCAGCGGCTCAACACAATGCACATTTATTGTCGTCTGGTTCTGGAGGTCAGAAGCCCAAACCGGGTCTCACTGGGGACCACCAGGGGTCGGCAGGGCTGGGTTCCTTCTGGAGGGTCCAGGGGAGAATCGCTTTCCCTGCTCCGCCCAGAGTCCAGAGGCCGCCTGCCTCCCTCCGCTCCCACTCCCTCCCGGCCACCTTCAAAGCCGGCAGCGGTGGTGGCGGGGCAAGTCTTCCCCGGCAATATCCCTCTGACCTCCTCTGCCACCGTCACATCCCTCTCCTGACTCTCACTGTCCTGCCTCCTCCTTGTACTTCTAGGGACCCTCGTGTTTACACTGGGGCCACTCTGGTAATCCAGGATAATCTCCCCCTGGAAAGGTTAGCTGATGAGCATCCTTAATTCCATGTACAGCCGTAAATGTCCCTGGCCAAGAAACACAACATATTCACAGGGATTAGGCTATGGACATCTTTGGGGTCATTCTCCCACCTACTACTCTCATGAAGTGCATTGTCCTAACTCTACGAGGTATAGGGACTCTGTTGCTCTGGACATAGAGGATGGTTTTTGCTATTCAAACCCAGCGTGTGAGAGCAAGAATCTGCAGCCTTTCAATGAGCATTACCTACCCAGTAGGTAAGATTATGTGGGTGCAATTCAGGAAGAGGAGCAAGGATCCATGTTTAACAATAAAAACAAGTTGCACGATGGCAGGCATAATCCACAGACTTCTGGAACCATTTGGCTTTTTGACCCAGGAAGCATTAGTATAATTCACACGCACAGAACCGACATCAAGGAGACATTGTTGAATGGAAGTCCTGAGGACACTCACCAGTGGTTTGTGGCCAAGGGCTTGATCCACCTGAAAGCGCACCTGACTAACTCCATGCGCGGGGCTCACTGCACAGACGGCCTGGGTCCTTCCGAACAGGTCTGTCGGGCCGCTCCCCTCCTCCGGACCGCCCGCCTCATGAGTGAGGCGCTATGTCCTGGGCTTGTGGTCTGTCCACAGTAAATACAAACATCTCTCTTAAAACACAGCAAGGATTACAGTGTAAGTACTTTCCTTATTCATAGTGATGAAACATTTTCTGGGAGAAAACCACAATGTTTTTTGACATAACCTTTCCTCAGTGATGGTCAAACGGAATAAATATCCATTTTTATTCTTAGAAATAAAAATATTCTCAAATTCTTTATATGTCAAATGTATTTTTGAGAAGTAAAAAGATCTATCTCTATATACATATATACATAAAATGCTTGCATAAAAATGATTGCTTCATTTCTCTCAGTGGAATTTTCTGCTATGTAAACTTTTTTCCTGCAAATGTAAACTAAAATTCGAGTGCTTTTTTTTTTTTACTCTTTGAAGCTAGGAAAGGCACCCTCTAATTTAGAAATACATATTTTTCATACATGCACCAAATATATAAAAAATATTTTACATAAAATGATACAACTAGTGTGGAAACATTTTGGTAGCTCCTCAGAAAGTTAAACATAGAGTTCCCCTCTGACCCAGCGATTCCACTGCTAGGTATACAACCGAGACAGTTGACAGTATAGGTTCACACATAAACTTATACATGAATATTCATAGCAACATCATTCATAGTGCTATATTCTTACAAAACACGTGGCCATACAACGAAATGAAGCAGTGATAGATGCTACAACATGGATGAACCTTGAACACATCGTGCTAGGTGAAAGAAGTCACATGCTGTATGATTCCATGTATGTAAAATATCCCAAATAGACAAATCCAAAGAGACGGAAAACAGATGAGCAGTCCTCAGAGGTTTGCAGAGGGATAATTGGGAGGGTCCAGGTCTCCTTTGGGGTATGAGAAATGTTCTGGAATTGGTGGCGATGGTTGCACGTTATGAATATACTAAAACCCACGGAATGACAAACTGTAAGAGTCAACATGGTGAATTTTACTTGGTGAACTTTATCCCAATAAAAAAGAAAGACTATTTTGGCTCAAAGGACTCTGTACTTTGATAAAAGATCTTCTTGGCTCACAGAATGGAAATGCCTCATCTTAAAAACTCGGGCTTCTTTGACAGCAGTACCTGTGAGGGCTGGGTAGAGAGAAGAAAACTGGGAGTGTTGAGTATTATAAGCTATTTATAAATTTCTGGATGAAAATCTGAATAAACTAACTCAGTGCTGTATCTATGGGAGACTAGTTTTCTAAGTAAGTGGGAGAACAACATTCCATGATGCTGTTTCAACATCGACAGAAACAGAATCACTTGGAGTGCCTAGACCTTTTCCCATTCTTAAATCCATTGTTTTAAATAAGTACTTTTTTAAATTGCACTCTAGAAGCCAGTCTCAATAAAATAAACTGTTGTTTGGGAAAGAGTATACAAATTCATTTGCATCATTTAAAATGTACTTGATATTTTAAACAAATAGGAAACACCATCAAAAATCGAAGAAAAACAGACAGATGTTTGCATTTTGACCTCAAAACCAATACAATAAACAATGCAATTACTCTGTATGCATAACTGTTATAAAAGGCACACAAAGGGGGATTTTATTAAAATCGAGTGTTGCTATGGTCACCTTTCAGAGTAAGACTGCCCTACCATGAACGATGGTCCTAACACCTAGGAGTTTCTTTGTACATTTTGATCAAGTTGCTGGATGACTGGATGGCTGGCTGGGTGGGTGCTAGATCTGGAGAGACCCCACTGGTCTCCCCATTAGTCAGCGGGACTGCCCAGGGTGAAGGGACACAGACTAACAATGAACAGACACACCTGTACAGGTTGTGCCCAATGCATTCTCATCACTGTGCACTCATCATATAAGCTCTGTGACCATGGGGATGTCACCATTTTTATTCACAGCTTTGTCCCCTGTGCCATACTAATGCCTGGATATAGTAAGTGCTCAATATTTATTCGTCAGATGAACAGACTTACGAAACATATTTGGGACCTTCAGAATGTGAATCAAATATGTTTAATAGGGAAGGTAAGTGAGGCCGTCACTTTGAATTACTGTGCGGGAGTGGGGGAAGGGAGGTGGAGAGGAACCATAAGAGCTCTGGGCAAAGTGAAGACCAAGTGACGTTTACTGACATATGTAGGGCTCTTTGCTAAGTGCTGCTCACATCAAATCCCTTCGTTCCTGCCACAATATAGTAAGAAAAGTTTTCTCCGTTGTACAGGAGAGACAGCTGGATTAGTGTAAGTCATTTGTGCAAAGCGGCAGAGCTAATGAACGGCCGAACGGACTCCAACACGCATCCCTTCCCCCACACGACGCCCAGCACGGCAGTCTTCACACGTTTCTGTTCTCATGTTCCCGTAAAAATCTGAAAAACCTCTGCACACCACCTCTTCTTTTTTTTAAGTTGGTATCTACAAACTTTCACCTTCTGTTTCAATAGCTGCCAAGAGTGTACTTTGGAAGATTGGGAATGGTGACCTATGATAAAACCGCTGCAGAACCGTCTCAGGCGCGGCCTGCGAGTCAGGACACCATGGCAATCGGTCTGCACTGCCGTCGGCTTGCACTGTCTGCACCCGAGTTCTTCAACAGTGGGGAGCTTCACCGCGTTTTTCTTCTTGGACTCATATTTCTGTTCCCTGTCCCACACACATCTTAGTGCAATGTAACGTCACATTTGAAACTCATGTTGATCACCCTACCATATTTCTCTGCAACAAAAATATGTATGGAAATGAAATATTTTTATATCCTATGATCACAAACTTCTGTTTTAGAAAACATCCTTTTCTCCTGGATTGACTTATCATTGTGATGATTAGCAGTATGTAATTCATCAAAAACATAAATGAATTTAAATTGCAACACAAAATTTACAATTATTAACAATTAAAAGTGAAATTTTATTGGAGTTGTAGTTGGCAATAAACAAATGGGGATTTTCTGTTTCTCCCTAGGTTAATAATACTTCTTCCTGGAATGAGACAGGTTCAGCAACAATCCTACATCCACTTTAACTTTTAAAGCTGCAAATTCTAATAAAACTTATGCACAAAAATAAGACGTTGTGGCCCTGGCTGGTGTGGCTTAGCAGACTGAGCACTCGCCTGCGAACCAAAGGGTCGCTAGTTCGATTCTCAGTCAGGACACAAGCCTGAGTTGCAGGCCAGGTCCCTAGTTGGGGGCACGTGAGAGGCAACTGCACATTGATGTTTCTCTCCCTCTCTTTCTCCTTCCCTTCCTCTCTGTCTGAAAGTAAATTAAATAAAAATAAATAAATAAGAAGAGGTTGTGAATGAAAGCCATTTGTTACACAAATGTCATCAGTGGTATACCAAAAGCAGTAAGGAATTGATCACCCAGAACCATGTGGAGTGATCTTTCAGCTGCTACGTCTTCCTTCCGCTGTGATGACACAGACGCTGGGGACCGCCGGGTCCAGGGGATGTGGAGCCCGGGAGTAGAACGCTTTCCGTTCTCAACACTTGCGTTTACACTGCACGTCCTTTGGCCCCACACACAGTTCTTACGCACTGAGCAAAGCAGGGCGGTAACACTGGGGATGGATGGGGGTAAGGGAGTGGGGCAGGGGTATGTCTTTCTTTTAAAAGGTAGGGGAAGGACAGTTGTAAAAGGGGAGCTGAGAATCTGGACCGAAGGCCCATTTTCAGATAGAACAATTCTAAGAGAGACCATCTATAGCAGTTGAGAATCTAGAAATTGGTTCCTTTATTTAATTTTCCAAGCTGCTTGCATAACTTTTAAGAACCTTTCTGTCCCTTGAAAGTCCATGTACCTCAGTTTGAAGACCTCTGCTTTGAATGAGCTGCCAAAGGTAAAAAAAGGAAAAAAAAAACCCTCCCTTGTTCACCAATTCACCTGGCGCAAGCCTCAGAAAACTGTGTGCTTACCCCACGGGTCTGCCTGGGAGTCCAAAACGAGCCACGATGCAGTCTCGCAGGCTTTGTAACCGTTCTCCTGCCTGAGACGCAGCAGCAGCCCATCACCCGACCAGCCGGACACTGGGGACGTCACTGTGCATCTCGCTCTGCACTTCACCAAACGCTGCCCCACGTGTAATCCACAACCATCTGAGGACTTTCTCTGTCCCCACAGCTCGTGTTAAGAGCATAAAAACCTTTCTCTCCATCAGGCTCGTGGCTGCACCACACAGAAACACCGTGCCATGCCAAACAGCCTCCCTCCAGACTCCCATCTCACAGGCGAATGGCCGTCATCGCGTGAGATGGGCTGAGGCAGTGTGACTCCAGTCCCTGAATACCCTGGCTGGTGTGGCACACTGGGAGGGGCATCATCCCGCCAAGCAAAGGGCCACCGCTTTGATTCCTGGCCAGGGCACAGGCCTGGGCCGTGGGTTCCGTCCCCAGTCAGGCGCACACGAAAGGAGCCAATCCCCATGGATGTTTCTCTCCCTCTCTTTCTCCCTCCATCCCCCTCTCTCTAAAAATAAATAAATAAAACACTTTGAAAAGAAAGTCCCTGAACGATCCAAAGGGCTTTGCCGTGAACACATGTGCAAACTGCAGCTTTAGAAGACTGCCTGTCTAGGGAGCTCACACAAACGTTCCGTGCCTCTCCGAGGCCAGGGTTTCCTCTGCCAACCGTGCTCCACGGAGAACATGGAGCGTATCTGCACAGTGTATAGAGAGGGAGTGCTCTCTGTGCCCTGGGGCACCTGAGCCCTGTCAGCCCCGCTAAGTGGGGTGTGGCCAGGTTTTTGTCACTTGATCTTGTCTCCCCAGCCCCATGGAAAGGTTGGGGGTGACCCATGTCACCCAAGGCTTGGCTTAGTGACATAGAACTCCAGCTCTGGGCTGGAAGATGGTACCAAAAGATAACCCGGATCAATCCTCTTGGAAGGCCAAAATTAGGAAACACAGAGAAGAAACAGGGATGAGGGAGGGAAGGATGCAGCCAGGCATGCGCTGAGGTCCAGTGGGGTGTTAGAAGGTGGGGACAGGTCACGTCAAAGTACAAGCCTGAAGTTAGAAAAAACAGATAGGCAG